CAGAGCAGGCTGTGCCCGTCGGTAACGCAGGTAGGGCATGGGCGCCCTGCTTCGCGCTGCTCTGGGGCGGGGAATTTGGGACCTTCGTGGGCCCTTCCTGCTCAAGGGCTGCGTTTATTTTTAAATCTAGGAAAGCGCATTGAAGATAGAGCCGTACAGGGGAAACTCCCGGCAGGGTGGGGGTAACAGGGGCTGTGCTGGCAAAACCACCTTGGCTGGCTGGGAGAGGGTGACGCGGGGTGAGCTGAGCGGGACAAGTAAAGTGTCAGCGTCACTGAAGCAGTAGCACTAAAATGGCCCCTCGGGTGGGTACATCGCTGCCCTTCTGTGGCACGTTCCAGCAGTCAGCTTCCTAGGGACGTTTCATGGGGTGGGTGCCTGATGTCACCTGAGGAGTGACGGGTGCTCCGAGCGGGGTGGTGACGGTTGCTCAGAGCGTTTCTGGCCCCTCTCTGGGCCAGGCCAGACCCATGCTCGCCTCGCTTGTGCTGGAAGGTACAGGCGTGCCCGGGCAGGCAAGCGGAGAGCAGAGCTTTTAACCTCCTCTTTGTTGTTTTAAGGGATGTGCAGAGAAATGCTACTTCGGCGCACGGTGCCGCTTCCTTCACGACATCGGCGAGTACATGGCCGTGAAGCCAGCCGACCTGGGGCACAGCTGCGTCCTCTTTGAAACCTTTGGCAAGTGCATTTATGGCGTTACCTGCCGCTTTGCCCAGGCCCACCTCGGAGATGGCTACGAGAACATTGTCAACACAGACCTGGCCAAGCAGTGGGAAGGGAAGTCACTGGTGAGGAACAACCTCTCCAAGGACCTCCAGCACCAGCTGCGCAAGAGGAAGTTTAGCTTCAAGAAGGCTGATGAGTACCTCCGTGGTCTGGCCAAGCCCCACGGCGATAGTGGGAAGGGAGGCAAAGCCACGGGGCTCTCTACAGAGGAGCAAGAGGCGTCCAACGGCACAACACCCCAGGAGGGCCTGGGAGACAGCCCCGAATGTCCTGTGCTACCAGAGCAGGGAAACGACCCCAAACCAGATGCCTTGCAGAGTCCCGGTGTCACAGGTGATGAGGAGGCATCCTCCATCAAAACAGTTGGCCCGGTGACAGATGAAGACATTATAAAGCTGCGGTCATGTGAGAAGAAGAAGGTGAGAGTTTGGTTGAGGGTTGCTGTCTCTTGTGTACCTGTCAAGTGGTTAAGCTTGTGCTTAGGAAGACAGAAGAGACCTCTTAGCTGGGTGAGAGGCAGACAGAGAACGGAGCTGCCCAGGGACCGCGTTACTGTCATGAGAGGAAGGATGCAGGAAGGTGAGCTCTTGGGGCTGTGGTGGTGTCCTTGGAGGGGTGAGAACCAAGAGAAGCTGCAGTCCCTTGTACGTGAAGGAGGGTAGGGGCTGAGCTGTCAGTGAGGGTGGGAATGATCTGCAAGGAGAGCCAAGGCTGGGTCTGGTTGGTTTGATTGCACTGCATGGTGCCATCCTGGGGTGAGAGCATTGCCTCCTTCCTCTCCTCCTCGTCACCTCCATCCTTGCATCCATTAGGCAATCTGTCTGGCCTCTATATCTGTAACTGCTTTGAGTTTTCTCCAAGTTGAGCAGTGAAAAATCAAGCGGTTCAAGTTTCTGGTTCTTTTATCCAAACAATACATCCTCAGGGAATAGTAGAGGTTCTTGAACAAAACCGGTGATTTCCTGGGTTTCCCACTGAGTTTTACCCAAGGCAAGTGATAAAATTGCTAACTGGAATATCTTCCTGTTTAACCACTGCTGGTTCAGCTCTGCTAACGTGCTCCTTGATCCTTCTTGTTTTCTAGTTGGATATCCAAGGCAAGCTCTACTTGGCTCCACTGACCACGGTACGTAGATAATTCTGTCCTTTTGTCAAAATTTACCATTGCCATGTTTGGAACAGAGCAAATTTCCTGACAAGCCATCTCTCTGCTGTCTCTTTCAGTGCGGTAACCTCCCTTTCCGAAGGATATGCAAGCGCTTCGGGGCAGACGTCACCTGCGGAGAGATGGCTGTGTGCACAAACCTGCTTCAGGGCCAGTCCTCTGAGTGGGCTCTTCTCAAACGGCATCATACCGAAGATATTTTTGGGGTCCAGGTGAGTGCCATCATCTCAATAACCAAACAGATGATAACTCACTTTTGAGGAGAAAAGCTGCTGCTTGAACTCATGCAATCTGTCCCCCTTTGGTAGCTGGAGGGGGCATTTCCAGACACGATGACCAAATGTGCAGAGCTCCTGAACCAGACAATTGAAGTGGACTTTGTCGACATCAATGTCGGGTGTCCCATTGACCTGGTCTACAAGAAGGTAAGAAGACTGCAGCGCATTTTGCTTCCTTCATGCTTGTCTTTTGCCTCATCCCTCGCTACTTGATCTGCTCCTGCCAGTCTGATCCAGAGCTCCCAGTTCCTTTATGGGCATTAGACTTCAGCAAGAAGGCGAATAAGCTGTTCGAAGAGCAGGGAGTGGTTAGCTGGCTCTGCCTGGCAGCAGGCAGAGGTTGGGAGGGAAAAGGGCTGTGGGGTTTTTTTGTGTTGAAGAGTCCCCTTTCTCCAAGTCTTGAGATGCTCCAGGTCTTACCTGCACTCCCTGAGTAGAGAGCTGCTGTTGAGCAGCTCCAAGGAGGCTCTTCACTATGCAAGGAAGCAGAAAATCACTTTTTTTCTCCCAGGGAGGAGGCTGTGCTCTGATGACTCGGTCCAACAAGTTTGAACAGATCGTCCGAGGGATGAACTCGGTGAGTGAGAGCACTTGCTGGCAGCAGGCGATGAGCTGATGGAGCCAACTCCTGCCTCAGCTTGGCCTCACCCTCCCATTCTTGCAGGTGCTGGACATCCCACTGACTGTGAAGATACGGACGGGAGTGCAAGAAAAGATTAATGTGGCTCATAAAATAATCCCCAAGATCCGGGAGTGGGGAGCATCCATGGTCACGGTACAGGGATACTTGCTGTGGCGTGAGGTTTTTGGCTGGTGTCTGGGGAACTCTGCTTGCATTTGAGTCTAGAGCATGATGTGGGGGTGACCTTACTCTTCTCCACAGCTGAGTAGCTCTTTCAAACACCTTTGACCAGCTGCGTACTACCTTTTAGTGTTTTCTGCTAATAACAGAGGGATCCCTTACCCCAGCCTGCTGTCATTGCCTTTGCTGAAGCACGTTCCTCCAGTGCTCCCATTCTGCCCTGCCTTCTCTGGGCATTTGCTGAGGTCTCACTATGACTTCCCTCCCCAGCTTCACGGCCGATCCAGGGAACAGCGGTACACGAGGGTTGCTGACTGGGACTACATAGCAGAATGTGCTAAAATAGCAAGCCCAATGCCTCTTTTTGGTAGGTGTTTCTGTTGTTTTGTCATATGGACTGAAAGTGCTGCATGTTTGATTTGAAATATCTTTTAAAAAAAAGAAAAAAACCAGGCTCCCAAGGTCATTTAGCCTGGGGGAAAGGCTGGACTTGATGATGACATGATGGAGTGAGTTACCAGTAGCTCTTGTGCAGCCCGGATCTGCCTCTGTGCTTGGGCCCAGGCATGATGAGCACTGAGTGCAGTAGGAGGGGAAGGGACAGGCAGGACACAAACCACTTAATTTTTAGCAGGTACTTTCTTGGGCACCGTGGCACAGACAGTCCCAGCTAAACCTTCAGGGTGGGAGTTGGGAGTGGAGAAGAAGAGAGGAGAAGGCTTTCCTTTTCCTAGTAAGGGGAACATTAATCAGAAGCATCCCTGGGAGTCTCTAAACATGAGCCCCAGAGCCTCTTTGGACAATCTGGCTCTTGGACCCTGTGTTCTTTTTGAATTTTATCCCATGCCTGGATTAACTCATTTTGACTTGCCCTCGTGTATCACTTTGACCTCTGGCTTCTCTCTTCTGGACAGGAAACGGTGATATTTTGTCTTACGAAGATGCTAATCGAGCCATGCAGATGGGCGTTTCGGGAATTATGATTGCCAGGCAAGTGCCTGTGTTTCTCTTTCACTTCTGAGCTCTACTTGTGCAAGAGTAAAAAAGGAATTAAAAAAAAAAATACCTAAACAAACCCAAAATGCAAGAAGTTTCCTCTTGGTGAAACTGCTCTGAAAATTGGTAAAATCAGGTGCATCTGTGGGAACTTAGAGCAGCTCCTGTTGAAAGTGAAAAAAACCCCAAACTTTAAAACAGCATAGGCTGGCAAATAAGTGCTGGAAAGTCTCTTAAATTAGTTGGCATCTTCCGAAACATCACTCATGGGAATAACAATGCACTTCTTTTTTTTTTTGCTACAGAGGAGCACTCATCAAACCATGGCTTTTCACTGAAATTAAGGAACAGAGACACTGGGATATCTCCTCTAGCGAGAGATTTGCTATCCTCAAAGATTTCACCAACTATGGCCTTGAGCACTGGGGATCAGATACTCAGGGAGTGGAGAAGACCAGGAAGTTTCTGCTGGAATGGCTCTCGTTCCTCTGCAGGTAATTCTTCCCTAGCTGAGACCAGCTTTAACACAGCAAGCCTGTACCGTTTGAACGATAGCATGCCCTGCCCCTGCGTTTCACTGCAGGTATATTCCAGTTGGCTTATTAGAACACCTACCTCAGAAAATTAACGAGCGGCCGCCTTACTACGTGGGGAGAGACTATCTGGAGACGCTTATGGCGAGCCAAAATGTGGACGATTGGATTAAAATAAGGTAATAAAGCATTGAATTTCATTCAGATTGCTAGGAAGGGACGTCGCAGAGCCACACAAAATCACAGTGCCTGCATGCATCCTCCGAAGTGGGGGTGATGGCTCTTTCCCATCAGTTCAAGAGGTTGTCAGAAAGCAGCAAGGGTTAAACAGTGCTTTCCTTTGAGGTTGTAACTGAGTTTGGAGTTGCCGTAAAGAGCTCTCTCAATCCCTGTATCTGCTACAGCAGGTGATCCAGTACCTGCTGCAAATTTAGAATGGCCAACCTCTTTCACGCACACTGTTCATGTCAGGACAGTCGTAGGAACCAAGAGAGGAGAGCACAATGACGGGACGTCTCAGGCTTTCAGCATCGAATCCCTCTGGGCTCTGCCCAGACAGTCCCACCCTGCCAGGCCCGTACAGACACCGAGCAGGGAGGCAGTCCCCATCCCCGAGTTAGGAGAGCTGAGCATTTTCCCCATTTTTCATTATCTGATTTCTGAATTCTTTCAACAAAGTGCAGGAAAGTGTTTTTCCCCACATCTACGAGTCCTCAGGCACTGGCTTCAAAGGACTTTGCAAGCTCAAAGCCAGCTAAAATGAGAGCTGGAGCGGCCAGCTGCTAGTTCCCATCGCAGGAAAACAGATTAGAAAAAAAATTGTTCTTTCTTTCTTCCAGTGAGCTGCTTCTGGGACCCGTACCTACCAGCTTCACCTTCCTGCCTAAACACAAGGCAAATTCCTACAGATAGGGCTGATGAGGCCCTTTCCCATGGCATCGAGTCAAGAGGCGGTGTTAGGATGGTCTGTGTCGAAGAGCAGGGTTGCTCGACTGCGCTCTGAAATAAAATCAATTTTATGTTTTTAGAAGCACGGTCGCCTTCATGCCCCCAGCATCGGTCCCTGCCACAAGTTCCACAGCACATGGCCTTGCCCAGTCTTGCAGCCAGAGGTGCCTCACCAAC